GTTCTGGTGATGGTGCTGACAGTGCAGAAGACTCTGGTTCATCTCAACAGTATCATTTCACCATACCTGGCATTCCACAGGCATGTTAATAATTTCTTTTAATAGCATTTACTGCTTGACAGGGAGCACATATATAGGGTACACAGATATGCTGTTAAACCTTCTATATGTTCTCTCTTTGATACTTACCTTTTCAATCTATGGGCTATGGTAAATATTCTTCTTTCTGAGGAAGCACAACAGACTTCAATTCTCTAACATTGATCTTCTTATGCTCATCAGGGTAGTGCCAGGCAGTTGTTCCAGCGACTTCAAGGACCATTTGAGGAAGAGAATCTGAAGTCACATTTTGAAAAAATTATGCTCCTCATGCCAAAAGTGCTATCCAGGCGTAGACAGGTTCGCCTTCTATCTTTCTTCAAGGCCTCATACTTTAGCGGATCTTTGTAACTTTTAAGTTGTATTTATAGTGGAGGTTGAGTAAATCTTGGTATTTCTTGTTCTTTGCGAAGTTGGGTAGTTATTGCGTCACATTCTATTAGTTTTAGAATCATTCTTGTCTTTGTTTTACGTGCATAATGACAGCTATAATATGACACGTTAGTGGACTTTCACATACCTTTGTTTTGCTGCTCTTACATATACTGTTATTTGTCAGTGTTGCTCATCTTCATGCTTTTCTTGTGCATTAGGTTAATAGCCGGGAGCTGAAGCCGATCGTACTACCACATAGTTCTCATGTTGTTGCACTTACACAAGCATGCCCGAACAACTTATCTGGGGGCATTTTGATGTATGTGTTTGTTGCTTTGAACTCTTGTTTGGATCTCACTTCCAGGAAATTGCCAAGATTTTTTCTTTCTTATATGCTATTTAATTTCTGTCATTTTATCTTTGTGGTCTTCTCTATCTGTTACAGGCCACTTGATCTTTGTGATGTAAATCTGAGCCTCGATGCAGTCACACCTGGCAGCGGAAACCAGATTTCTCATCCAAACGGGATGACACTGTCGAATCAACATGGTTCTGCTGGTCCTACTACCACTCCTCCTACTCCCAATCCAAATTCAAGGTTGCCAGGGTCTCCTGGTATGGTTCTGGGCAGCAACTTTTCGCCACCTTCAGCACTGAGTGCCCCTTCTAGGTAAATGTTTCAAGTATCCTTCCTAGTAATTGCAGATATTATATGGAGTGCACGATACATTTAATTTACAATGTTTTTTCTTGTTTCATGCAATTTCTGCTACAGGGATTCTCAGAAATATGGTGTTCCTAGACCGTCCTCTATACAGGGTGATGAGCAACAGAAGATTCAGTATAATCAAATGCTCAGTGGTAGAAATCTTCAGCAACCTGGAGCTGTTCCTGCAACAAGTCCTGGTACTCGTATGATGCCTGGTGCTCATGGTGTTGGAATGATGACAGGGGTAAATCGAGGTATGCCTGCAGTCAGGGCAGGCTTTCCAAGAGCTGGTTCCCCAGGAATGCTGAATATGGCATCGACAGGAAACATGCCACTCAAAACTGTGCAAGGAGTGCCAAATGCCATGTCTCCCGCTGGAAATTCTATGATGAGGCCACGCGATCCTATGCAGATGCTTCGTGTGAGTTTCCTTTTCTCTTTCATTTTATTGAAACATCTAAATTGTTTACTTTCATGCATAAACAGTTGCCTAAAAGCGCTTGCTTTTTATCTGTGGTAAAAAAATTCCATCCTTCAAGCTGTGTATGTCTTAAGTTTGGATTCACGAGTGTTGCTTGCTGTTTGTCATTGCACAAGCTTTCTTTTACAAAACTTTGTAAACAAAGGGCAGTCCTGCCATTTTTAGAAGTTTTCTGAGGAACAAAGTAGCTTCTCGTGGTAACCAACATAATTAATTATGTGACAAGTCTCTACATGTCTGAAACCTGCATAGTCTCTGTTATGTCAAGGTCATGTTTATTGCTACGTTTTGAGTTACTAGTTGCCTGCTTAGAAAATATTCCCTTGGTTAAGTAAATGAAAGTGCCTTTTTATGAAATATTTGCTCATATCATTTTCAGACACCTATTTGAAACACTTGTATGTCTTAGTGGTAGGACTGCCCTTTGTTTACACTGCATGACTGTCAACTACGCAAACAAGGTTTATTTACTGGTCATGCAACATTGACATTAGATGGTTATAAGGTGACTCCAATATTCACTAAACGAGCTATTAAGCTTAAACTACTACTAAACTTGTCAGTTGTGAAAAATCAACGTGATTCAGAGTGCTGACGGGATACTCTCTTTCTTTCTTTCTTTCAGCCTGGTCAGCAGCATATGGTGAGGCCGGAGCACCACATGCAGGTTTCACAGGGAAATAGCCAAGCTGCCCACTTCAGCAGCATGAATCCATCATTCTCCAAGGCTGCAGCTTCTTCACCTCTTCAGCAAACCCAAAGGCCACATCAGATGTCACAGCCACTGAACATGCTGGGTAACCCGCATCTTTCTCAGACCCAAGGAACCAGCCATCCAAGCCCACAGCAGCAGCCATATTCTACTATGCCTATGCAGCTGGCTAAGGAAAGACAATTTCAACACCGCTTGGTGTCTCAACAGCACAACAGTCTTCCTGTAGCAGGTGTGCAGAACGGACCACAGATTCAGCAGCAGAACCATGCATCTCCGGTCACTTCAACCCCTTCTTCACAACCTCTGCCTCAGAAGCAGCAGTCTGCACAAAGCCCAACAGATAGCTCTGCACTTGCCAATCGACCTGCCAATGCTACAGAACCTAAGCAGAAGAAACAGCAGGGTCAACAGCAGCCTAGACAGAATCAACAACAGAGGAACCAAGCTAGTCAACAAGCTAAGCTTATGAAGAGTCTAGGACGAGGAAACAACATGGCGACACCTCAGACTCCTGCAGCCGACGCAACTCCACCCAGTGCTGTCCCTACAGCTTCCAAGAAACAAGTTCCTGACAGAAATCCGATGCAACATGGGCAAGGGTCCTCCGCTGGTAGTAAAGCGTCAACTTCAGTTACACCTCAGCCTGGGAATCAACATAAGCTATATGCCTCGCAGCAGCCTCCAAATATCGGTAACCAAGGCTTGGTGCAGGGTCCTCCTAGTCACACCGTCTTTGCTGCACAACCGCCCCCACTCCATTCCAGGTACCCGGTGACCACGCAGCAGCGTCCGATGAATCCAGCACAGAACAACATCCAGAGAATGATGATGCAACAAAGCCTCCAAATGAAGCCCGACTCACAGATGGACCAAGTCCAGCACAGCCAGGCGATTCCAGCCACACCGACATCTCACAGTTCAGAGGCAGGCAGTCCTGGGCTTTCAGCGCATGACCCAGCTGCAGTTACATCGACATCTAAGCCGCTCAGCTCCCCCAAGGACAATTATGCCGGGAACGGAACTTCAGCGCCATCGTCGTCTAGCCAAGGCATGCTGCAGAGGCAAATATCAGGCGGAACACCATCCAGCCAAGGCATGCTGCAGAGGCAAATTTCAGGCGGATCATCATCCAGCCAAGGCATGCTGCAGAGGCAGATTTCGGGCGGGCTGCTGCCTGTGCATGGACAAGAGGTGAGTGGCTCATGGCACCACCAACAGCTGTCTAGGCCACACCTGCCTCCCCCGCATCATCAGCAGAGACCAGTTGCTCCAGGCAGCATGTATGCTCCCCCGAATCCAGGGTCAGGGTGACGAAATCTCTGACACTGGCTGGTCGTATTCATGGAGCATCCCTTCTCTCTGAAATCCAAAGTTACTGTACAGGTACGTGCTTCCTTCCCTTAGCAAGCCGTGTTTGCATTCCCCGCCGACTTGCCGGCACAGGTTGTGCATGCAGTTTGTGCAAGTAAACTCATGAGAGAAGTCGCAAACTGATGTTTTGACATTTGCTGTGTGTTGTCAGGTGTCGGACCGATGGAACGGAATGGAAGTCGTTGCTGACAGTGGTCCTGAACAAAGCTACTTTTGGTATTTTGTTGTTAGGTGGTAGATAAGTAAGATGATTTGGCAATGCATTGCCACCCCTCCTTTCTGAGGTTGGTCGGCTGCAGTGAGTCTAGATAAGAGAGAGATTGATGATGGTGGTATGGTAGCTGGTAGCTGGTTTTGGAGGAGGAAGGAGGAGGTGCTTGTTGCGTGCGACAGCTAACTTTTGTTTTCCGTGTCTCTGTCGGATGGATGATAACCGGCTGTACATGCTGCTGCTGCTTCTTGGTCGTAGAGCCAGTGTCTCTGACTAGTGACTGTATAAATTTGTTGTCGTTGTGATCGTTTTAACTTATATAACAGTGGTACAACAAGTTGATTAAATGTGACAGTGCATAGTTGAAAGAGTGCCCAGTTTGCATTGGATCAATCCTTGAGCAGTGCTGCAATCTATACCTCACCCGTCCCAGCAAACGGCTGAGCGGCTGGCTGTTCCATGGTCCAGTACAGACAGGCCATCCAGTTCAGTTCAGTACAGATGCTCAGCCGTGAAAATGACTTGAAGGAAAGCGAAATCTTTACGGATGCAGATAGATAGGGGAGCTGGCTTGGCAGATGCGCAGCGGTGAAAGTAAGTAAATCAAGGAAAGGAAAGCGATATCTCCTCTCGTCTCTCTCTCCTCGACCCCCCACCAAAATGAGTAAAATGTAAGCGCGGTCCTAATTCTTTCCCAAAAGTGTCGACTGGGTCCTAATTTTTTCAAAATGCACATCTGGGTCCTAAATCTTTCTAAGTTGTTCACCCGAGGTCCTAGTTTCGACTGTCCGCCGCTGACCAGCTCGCGTGGCGCTTTGACCGCTGCCACGTCGACTCGAGGGCCCAAGCGGGATAACGACTAGCCGTGCATTTTTTCAAAAGAGCCCCCCAACCCTAATCTCTCCACAGCCGTAGTCCTTTCCTCTCCTCTTCCCCACCTCTCTCTGCTCTGGCGAAACAGGGGAGATCGACGGCGGCGGTCCGGTGAGAAGAGGCAGGCGGCCATCGTAGGCGCTTGTCCGGCGGCGGCGCCGCTAGGATGGCGCCCGTGCATCGGCGACCTGGAGATCCTCCTCCACGATACGGTCAGTGTGTTGCCCATAACCCTAACCCTCGATCTTCTTTTTCCGTGGATTTCGATTTAGCTCGAATCGATGGTAGTATTTGACTGAATCCCTCGATACCTAGGAGCACAAGAGGAGGTTTTTACCGTAGAAATCAACTATGGTGGATTTTTCTGCGGATTTGGCCGATCGAAGACGTATGTCGATGGTAAAGTTGCTCTGTTCGATGGTTGCGAAGTAGATACATGGTCTCCTCTCTGGCTCACTGATTTTATGCAGCAACTGGGATATAGTGACCAATCTAAGCATGTTATTTACTGGTTACTGCCTGGAAAGAATTTAGCCGGCGGACTGCGGATTGTGGACTGTGACACTGACACTTTGCACATGACAGCAGTTGTTCCAAAATTCCAGTTGTTTCAGTTGTTTGTTGATCACAAAGATATGGCCTTTGACAATGTAATGGATGATATTCATGTTAGTGGTACACCTAAGCTACCTCTTGTACTAAGCCCTAAATCTCATGGGTTTAGCAGCGGAATAAGAGGAAGTCCCAGGTTTAAGGTGAAAGCTCACAAAGGCAGACTGAACCAATGTCATGCAGGCAGCAGCAATGAAGGGAGTAGCAGTGTTCCACCAGTGGGACTAAATGTTGGACATGAGCTTAGAAGAAGCAGGAGGAAACTTGTGGTAGAAGAAGAAATCCCCAATGAAAATGACAGTGACAGTGATAGTGATGACAGTGAATGGGATTCAGACTGGGTAGACTCTGACAATGAAGTAGGCAAAAATGATGATGATCTATATGAAGAATGGGTTGATGAAAAATTTGAGAAGAAAAAAAAGAAGAAATCTGAATGGGAGCAGGACAGTGACTATGATACAGATGAACTGCAGGAGCTACAAGGTTCAGAGCTTGAAGATAGTGATTCAGCAGAGGAAGTGGAAGTAGTAGATGCACAAGGAAGGAAAAAAATGAAAAAGAAAGTGAAGCTGAAAAGGTGGAGGCCTGAGAACATGAAAGAAGTCAATTTTCACATAGGCATGGTGTTCTTGTCTGTCATTGAACTAAGAGCAGCAATTCAGGAGTACATTGTGAAGCAAAGAGTGCAAATTCATTACATAAAGAATGATAAGCAGAGGATAAGGGCAGGTTGTGTTGGAGATTGTCCCTGGTTCTTATTTGCTGCACCTGACAGCAGGACCAAAGCATGGGTTGTGAAGAAGTATGTGGGTGAGCATACATGTGAAAGAGAGTGGGCACTGAAGCAATTTACAGCAAGATATTGTGTGAGGCATCTGCATCAAAACTTTGCAAAAAACTGGAAAGGTGATGTATTCAAGAATAAATTGTGGCAAATTGCAAGAGCTACACATGAGGCAGACTGGAAGAAGTACATGCAAGAGATGAAAGAGTTGGACCAGGGGGCCTATGAGTACTTGGATGCAATTGACCCAAGGCAGTGGTGCAAGGCCTATTTTCATGAACTCCCAAAGTGTGATTTGCTTCTTAACAACAGCTGTGAAGTGTTCAACAAGTAAGTTGTCAGTACTGTAGCATTTCAGCTGTGAAGTGATTTCATATTGTCAGTACTATAGCATTATCTAACTGTAGCTATTTCATAGGTATATACTTGATGCCAGAGAAATGCCTATAGTTACTTGTCTTAAGAAGATCAAGGACCAATTAATGACTAGGTTTTATAGCAAGAATCTGGAATCTGAGGAGATGTGTGGTCAAATTTGTCCAAAAATTAGAAAAAAACTGGACAAAAATATTAACATGTCCAACAACTGCACTGCATTACCAGCTGGACAACACATATTTCATGTTAAAGGCATGGTTGGGGAGTATGATGTGAACATACAGAAGGAGGAGTGTTCTTGTAGGGCATGGCAGCTCTCTGGAATTCCATGTAGACATGGAGTTGCATGTTTAAGACATGAAAGAATTAAACCAGAGGATGTTGTCAACAAGTGCTACAACATAGATGCTTTCAGAGCTGCTTATGGCAAGATCATAATGCCATGTAGTGATCCTAGAGTGTGGCCTAAAACTAATGGGCCTCAAATGCTGCCACCACACTATGAGAAGAAAGTTGGTAGGCCTGGAAAGAAGAGAAAGAAGAACCCACTAGAGGAGGACAATGGAACTAGGATGAGCAGACATGGCATTATTGGACACTGCAGTGTGTGCAATCAACCAGGACACAACAAAAGAAAGTGCCCTGAACTAGGTAGAGGACAACCAACAGCAGCACATGAGGCAGGAGCAGAACAAGATCCAGCAGCAGAACAATATCCAGCAGCAGAAGAGGAAGCAGCAGAACATGTGCAAACAACAGAACATGTGCCAATTCAGGTTGTGCTTCCAGAAACACAACAAAGAACTAAACTACCAGTCAAGAGAAGGCCCAGTTGCAAGGTGCATTTCCCTTAAATGTTTCCCTTAAATGCCGTTGAAAACTAAAATTGCAATGGTCAACAACATTTCTTATTTTTTTGTAGAAAAAGGCATGTCCACAAGTGGGCAGAAGTACATCTAATATGATATCTTCTTCTATGAATTATGATCTTGCTTCATCTACTATGATTGAGATTTTACAGGACCAAGTGAGAGCTTTTTATTTAAATGCAATGTTAATAAATGCAATGCCATCTGTTCTTCCAGAAATTCACCTACATTACTAAATACATGTTTAGTTGGTTTGTAGGCTATAGCTACTCAACAATCTCAAACAGCAGTGCCAGCTCCTCTACCAGAAAGCCAGTTCATTGCAAACTGCAGAGATGCCCTGCCAGCTCCAAGAAGCCACACTACTGCTACACTAGGTTTGAAGAGAAGGAAGAAAGTGAAAAAAACTAAGGAGAACAAAGCCCCAACAACTCAGAAGTGAAGAGCTACAAAGATGTTATCGAAAGAAGCAGTGTAGGATGTTTTTCTTTTGCTTAGGAAACAAGGTGGTTTGTAATGAAACCTCATGCTAAGATGTGGCTTTGGGTTTCACACAAACCATGGAAATGTAATACTTTTGTTGCACAACTTCAAGACCTTGTAATGTTGGGTCCATCTATCTATCTTTCAGACTGTTTTGAAGTTCAGTTAGTAAAAGAATGGCCTTGCATATTACTGTTTATTTGTGTTGTCAATGCTAGTAAAAAAATGGTGCCAAAGTACAGAAAAACAACCAAAATGCTGCCAAATTTTAGTTCAATTTCATTGCAACAGTAAATCATCAACATCTAGATACACCAACAAGCATTGATCACTGGATACATCATACTAACACATCACTTCTTAAATCCTACATACACCACAACTACAATCAGTACAACAAGTGCACTGAGAATACTCCTACAGAGAAAAATGAGCTCATTCATCTTCTGCATTGCTTCTGCATATGCCACAGTCTCGACAGTGCTATGCATTGCTCCTGCACAAGCATCTTGCACCTCTGTTTCTTCACTTGCAATGACACCAGCCGAATCTAAACTGCGCAATCCACGGCTGACATACCCAGCTCTCACCAAAAAATCAAAATAGTTGTCTGGTCCATCTTTCCAATAGTAATGTTGGCAAGGATTTGGTTGAATCTGATAGAAATTGAGCAAAAAAAATTCAGTCAAAAAGAAACACAGAAACATCAAATCGATTGGGCACTTGTAAAAGATCTTACATGGTGATTGGGGCACTTGTAGAAAATCATGCCAGGATTTGCCTTCGATTTTGACACAAGACGAATTGTAGATCGAATGCGGCAGCTAGGGCATGGTACCAACGGCAGCATACCCGCGGCAGCCGGCGATGAGATGGGCAGCGAGAAAAGGGCTAACGCCGGAGGTGGAGCAGGCGCTTGGGCAGCCTTCTTCCCGCGGTGCTTCACGGCAGACGAGCTAGCGGCGGCGGACATGGCGGCGACGGCGCGGCGCCAGAGAGAGGGAGAGAGCAAGCAGAAGACCTAGGGACCGGGGAATGAAGAGAGGACAAACTCCAGGGGCCAAACTGCTTAAATTACCAACCTCCAACCGCGGGAACTATCCCGTGTGGGCCCTCGAGTCGACGTGGCAGCGGTCAAAGCGCCACGCGAGCTGGTCAGCGGTGGACAGTCGAAATTAGGACCTCGGGTGAACAACTTAGAAAGATTTAGGACCCAGATGTGCATTTTGAAAGAATTAGGACCCAGTCGACACTTTTGGGAAAGAATTAGGACCGCGCTTGCATTTTACTCCACCAAAATCCACATCCACCATTCTTCCGTTGCCCTGATTGATTCTCTGACGCCATGGCCGCCCACGGCAAGCCCAAGCCCAAGCCGCCCGGTGCCCCCGCGCCGCCGCCGCCGCCCCCGCCACCGACGGCGGCAGAGGCGAAGAAGGGCTTCATGCGCCGGATGTTCCCCTTCCTCCTCGCCGTCAACGCCTTCGTCGGCGGTCAGCACCCCATCCCGATCTCGCTCCCCTCCTGCTATACTGCCAGTGGATTCCATCTTCTTCTCTCGGAGAGATCCAAGATGCCGGCCATGGCGGTCTCCCACTGTTGCAATCTATATTTCCCCCATGGCCATGGGGTTCGCTTGTTTCTTTGGTTTATTATTATTAATCACTCTTCACCATCTCACACCCCCTGCTTGGCAACGTGCAGCCTACATGCTCGTCAGGACCTACTACAAGGACTCCCCGGCCAAGACCGCCGACGCTGCCTCTGCAACTGCCACGGCGTCCACCGCCGTCGAGTCCCAGGAGCCTGTTGCCGCCGTCGCGCCCGTCAAGCCGGTGCTTCCGCCGATCCCCGAGGACGAGCAGCGCCGGGTCTACAAGTGGATGCTGGAGGAGAAGCGCAAGGTGAAGCCGCGCGACGCCGCAGAGAAGAAGAGGCTTGACGACGAGAAGGCCCTGCTCAAGCAGATCATCCGCGCCGACACCCTCCCGGTGCTCTGAAACGAGAGAGCCTCACCACACCACCACCAGACTGGACTGCTCTGCTGTTGGAATAATTAAGCTGGCACTGCCTAATTGATGGTTTGATTGGATGTAGTTAGTTAGTTGATTGTGTCGTGTGCTACTCTTATTTTTATCCTCTTATAAGGTACTCCTAGTTTGATGCCAAGAGGCCCATCTCGAGCTGCTTTATTTATGTGGATGCAGGCAGACTGGTCTTGTTGCTTGTGTTGCTCTATGCTTCTTAAGATAAGGATTTATGTCGAACTCATTGTTTTCTGTGGATGTGGATGCAAACTGATTCTTTGTAGCGAGCTTGAGGGTATACCCTGCTTCCTTTACTTTTCTCTCTTCTGTCTTCTTATTACAGTGATGTGTCGGCCAAGCCTATATATTTCCACGCCAGCAAAATTAAAATACAATGCACTCTTGCTGAAACTTTCAGCACAAAAACTAAGAAACTGCAGCTGGCCCGGGGTACAATTTCGTTCATTCAGTTAAATAACTGCAGCCCGGTGCAAGTGTGGTCAGTGTCCATATGAGTGTGAGTGTAGGTCTGTGACAGCAACATCAGGAGCCAAAATTGAGCTCCTCCAGTGGCCCCAGGAGGCCTTGCTGGTGGTTACAGATAGCCACACATCCAAGCTGCCCTGAATATCATCCACTAGCTCGGCTGCTGCTCTCCTTAAGGCTCAAGATCAGAATTGGAGGGCTGCTGCTCTCCTTAAGGCTCAAGATCAGAATTGGAGGGCTTCTGGTGCAGCACCAGGCAGTCGCTCAGCAAGGATGCCGGGCAGCATCCGAATCTCAGGCAAGTCATCCCCCCTCTCTCTTACGATTTGCAATACTTCCATTCAAAACTCCAATATGAATCAAATAACATATTCTTGTGCTGGAGGCGAGAACTGACGGTGTTTGTTTCTGCTTTTGCTGTGCAGACGTTCAGCCACCGGTCACCGCACCACTCTTCTTGCAAGGTTTGTTGGTGTCTTCTGATTTCACTCTACTTTTTCCCTTGCTTCACACTTCCTGTTTGCTAATGTCGTGTCATTTGGATGCAGTTAATGCAGGGAAAAAAGAGTACAGCGGAGACATAGGGCAGCATGGATTCTCCCTGTAAGCCCATTCCCATATCGCCTTTCGCTGGTTTTTACTTGCGTTTGACCTTTCTAATTCCACAAAATGCCCATCGAGAATGTATCTCACACCAAGATGATATATTTGCAGTCCTGTTACATCGATTCGTGATAGCATGGTGATGATGCTGTACAATGCAGACAAGGAATTGGTATCCAAGACAGGTTTATTTATTGTTGGTTCATTAAGCCTTTCTTCTGTTTATCATCTGCACACCTGTCAATTAACGTGCGTCGCGATTTTCTGTAAACCATTAGAGGTGAAGACAAAGTTGATTGTTGAGTTGGGAACCATGGATGCTGTTTTTACTCTTGATAGTGGAGGGACAATTATTCTCCAGTTGCAGTTTTTTCTCAGCGATGAAGATCGCAAGCGCATCCAAGAGATGGTGAGATGCTTCTTTTATGGTTTATTATGCTGTTTCCATGAAAGCTTGAAAATATATTTTTCTTGAAAGGTTCAGTTTAAGTTAAAATATAAATTATATGTGTTTCTACTGTTTCTTTTTATTCAGAGGAACTCTGTGATGAAAAGAAAGCAGCAAGAGCTGCTTGGGAATGGCGATGAACTTTATTTCCAAGGTAATTTGCTATAAATTATTATTTTAAACGCACATTTGGAATTCCATGGAACAAATTGAGCATTAGGTGTGTCTGTGTGTGTGCTCCCTGAATGAAAGGTTCAGAAAATTAGTCACCAGTTAAAATGCAGTTGATATGAACACCATGCAGGAGCTCTGTTTCTTACAAATGGCTTTCAAATTTTATCAGAAGATGGCCCACTGCCTAAAGAGCATGCAGAAGATATCCCCGGCATCCCAAGCAAAGATGATCTGAAAAAGAGGGTCGTCTTCTCCGAAACAAGTGTAGATTCTGACATGGTGGCTTCTAAGGACCCACCGTTGCAAATTGGTGGTACTACTTCGATGCTCGAAGGTCCCATCGACGCCGATTCCAAGAAAGGACAGGGTAAACCAAAGAGTAGATCAAGCAGCGCGGTGAAGAAGATGATAAGTGCCTTCGAAAGCAGCTCCCCACAGGTTCAGAACCCGTCCCTATACAGAGAAATGATCGCCTTGTTGCCTAAATTCTGAAAGTGCAGATAATATTACAGCGACTTCTCAAGTTTGCATGGCCTGCAGGGTCTGCCTTCGGTGCCAAGGATCAGATCAGAGAGCTCGTTGGAAGAGATGCCGTCGGTTTCTTGTTCAGAGACTTCCACCAACCCTTCACGCAAGCCTCCTACTCCTGGTGCATCAGTGGACGCTCCAGGCCGCACCCAGACAGGTCCCAGGCCAGGGAAGCAAGCCATGATCATTGGCAACAAGAAACCAAGCACATCTTTTGGAAAGACCGGCCCGTTAAACACACAAGAAAGCCGGAGACGGAGCTCCAGGCAGAGCGCAGGAGCGAGCGACATGATTCGCCCGGAGAAGCGGTCAGCGGAAAAGCGTCGGCGTCGCTCCATCGGCACCTACTCATCGGAGCAGCAGGTGAACCCTTGTGGTGCGACGTCTATCGTCACGTGGATCAACCATCCGCACGTCTGCATCACCACTGCGAGCAGGCAGCTGAAAGGCATTGTTGACGTCGAGCACCTGAATTTCGTGGAGAACTTGGGACAGGTATGAAAGCTAAACTGGTGTGATACTTAGCTACATGCATGTTGGTGCTTTATTGCTTGTAGCTTCTCCTTGCTACTTGATTCGTCCTGATATGCACTGTCATGAACTTGTGGAGCAGGGCGCAGGTGACGGCGCGGCGCGGTGTCCTGACGGTTCCCCGGTGCTGAATGGGTGGTTGATTAACCAGGTAAGTATACACTTACTGCATTGATCTCTCCTCTCGCTGTCGCCAAGGCTCGTTTATTGAGAGTTTACCAGTGATATAACCTGGTAATGAAATGGCAATGCAGGGTGTGCGTGGTGTGATAGTGATCATAGCCTGCGGAGCTGTGTTTTTCAACAACAGGTGAAGAAGAGGACGAGTGCAGCTGATAACTTGTAACTAATACGTATCAGAAGCTGCGACCGATGAGGCATTGAGATGCAGTGCAATTTGTTTGTGTCAATGGCTTGCTGTTGCTTCATACTCCACCATGATGACTCGCAGTTCATGTCAGAAGCTGCGATGAGACGAGTGTAGAGTATCATATGTGTAAATCATTCTGGGATGATGATGAACTGTCGGGTTCTAGCGCGGCCTTCTGCCACCGCGTCCCTTTGGCCGTATGCCGTGCTTTGGGATGTCTGTCCAGTATTTGGACTTTGTGGTCAGCCCGGATGGTCCCGAGTCGCCTCGGTTGGTGCAAAAGACGGGGAGCTCTGAAACGAGGGAGGCTCACCACCACCAGACTGGACTGCTGCAGAATAATGAAGTTGTCACTGCTTGATTGATGGTTCCTCTCTGCTAAGAGAATGGCTTGATTGGACTCTTTAGTTAGTGCGATTGTGTCGTACGTGTGCTACTGTTATTACCATCTTATAAGTTAGTGAGAGGCCCATCTCGAGCTGTTTTATTTATGTGGATTCCTTGCTTTTGTTGCTCTATGCTTCTTCGAGATAAGGATTTGGTTTGTCTCAAGCAAGATGGTCAACTGATTGATTGATTGACTCATTCATGTGTCACAAGTCTTTTGTTGTTGTCTCTGGATGCAAACTACTAAGTAGTAGTTCTCTGAAGCTTGAGTTGTTTCCTGTGGGGTTCATATGATTCAGCATTCACACATTTATTTTCCTTTATATAGTTTTCTCTGCTCGGTGTTCTTACAGTGATGTGCCAGCCCAGCCTATCTATTCCCATGTCACCAAAATGTAAGTCCAATGCAGCATTGCTGAAACTTTGAGTACACAAAAGAGAGATAGAGAGAGCTACTGCAACAATTTCAGAATTGGAGGGCTTCAGTGCACCGCAGAGCAGGCACTCAATTGATGCCAGGCAGCATCCGAGTCTCAGGCGAGTCATCCCTCTCTTATGATTGATTTCTACTACTTTATTTCAAAAAGTTGGAACAGAGTATCATACTGTTGTACTGGAAACAACAACTGACAGTGTCTGTTTCTGTTTTTACTCTTCAGACATTCAACCGCCGGTCAGCTTGTCCTGCGTGGTGCTCGTATGATGCCTGGTGCTCCCGGTGTTGGAAGGATGACGGGTAAATCGAGGTATGCCTGCAGTCAGGGCAGGCTTTCCAAGAGCAGGTTCCCCAGGATTGCTGAGGATGGAATCGGCAGTGCACATGCTACTCAAAAGTGTGCAAAGAGTGTCAAATGCTGTAAATGTCCATTCTGGAGCCATGTCTCCCGCTGGAAATTCTATGATGAGGCCACGCGATCCTATGCAGATGTTTCGTGTGAGTTTTCTTTTCTATTTCATATTATTGAAACATCTAAATTCTTTTACTTTCATGCATAAACATTTTGCAAAAGCACATGCTTTTTATCTATTGGTCAGCACTCACGAGGAGAAGAAATTGGAATACCTGAAAACTGGCAGTAATTCCTAAGATTTAACTTGTGTCTTCACAATTATTTCCAGTTGCTCCTGCCCGATGCAGCATGGACGCTGCATGACTTTTTCGTTCTATCCACGCATCGTGATTCAAAGATTACGACTGTCCACTACTAAAACAGGGTCTAATTAGTACTCATTCTACCCACCAGCACGACTGTCGACTACTAAAACAGGGTCTATTAAGTAGTCGTGCAACAACTTTGACATTAGATGGTTAAAGTTACTCTGTTGTCCAATCTTTTTTTTAGAAGATAAGGGCCGCGGCCCTGTTCCATTCCATATCAGAAACGAAACAATAGTTCCAGACCGATTACAGGCAAACGCACACGATGAGCAGCAGACGTACTGTCACAGTTGCTTACCGTCGCCACATAGCTACAGGCAACGCAAATCTAAACACAACTAGACAGAGTGAAGTCACATCCAGGGCCCAAACTGGTCACAGAAGTCTGCATTACATTGCCCGAAACGCCGGACATGAATTTTTGAAGGATGTCACTGCAGGTTTTGTGGCTTCAGAATGTGTCCACCCGCCTCAGCCAGGATCTGGCCACAACAGAAGGGGTGGGGGGGTGGGGGGGCTTCTCGCTATCATCTCCAGTTCTTTCGAGGCCCACACCAGCTTGTCCCTGACATGACCTGAGGAAAGGCAGTCCCACGTAGATAGATTCGACGTGGTTTTCCGCTAGATAGCCTGCAAACCAGGCCAACAAACACAATTGAAAACCATGTCATTGTGAGTTTTCCAGAGAGCCCATAGACCAGCTGCATGAATGACGTTAACCGCAGCAAATCCATCTCCTCTGTGCCAATAGGATGAGATGGACATCATATTAATGTCACCTCTAACTCCTGTCAGTCTACAGATAGCTTTCCAGAACTCAGTAGCAACAACACAATCAAAAAATGAATGGAAACAAGATTCTAGCTCAGAGCAAAAAACACAAGTAGGGTCTCCCACTTCCTGTCTCTTACTCAAATTGTCCCTAGTTAGCAATTTATTATTGACTAATAGCCATAGAAAGATCTGAATCCTAGGGGGAATCTTGATAGTCCAAACAGCAGGGGAGCCAACTCAGCTGGCAGCACCCCTCTAAAATTAACAAATTTATAGAATGATTTTACAGTGTAAACCCCTTTGGAATTCATATTCCAGACCAGGGAATCCTCTTGATCCTTGAACTAGATAGAGTTAACAATTTATAGTCCAATCTTCACTAAAGCTTAAACTATTAAACTTCACATTGTGGGAAATTAATTTAATTTCCTCAACCTCAATCTGGATTAATGTGATCCAAAAGAGTGCTGATGGGATACTTTCTTTCTTTCTTTCTGCCTGGTCAGCAGCATATGGTGAAGCCGGAGCTCCACTTGCAGGTTTCACAGGGAAATAGTCAAGCTGCCTATTTCAGCAGCATGAATCCATCATTCTCCAAGGCTGCAGCTCCTTCACCTCTTCAGCAAACCCGAAGGAACCAGCCATCCAAGCACACAGCAGCAGCCATATGCTACAATGCCTATGCACCTGGCTAAGGAGAGACAATTTCAACACCGTTTGGTGTCTCAAGATAACAACAATCTTCCTGTAACAGGTGTGGTACCCGGTGTGCAGAACGGATCGCACATTCAGCAGCAGAATCAAGCATCTCCGGTCACTTCAACTCCTTCTTCGGCTTCACTGCATCAGAAGCAGCAGTCTGCGCAAAGTCCACCAGATAGCTGTGCACTTGCCAATCAATCTGCCAATGCTACAGAACCTAAGCAGAAGAAACGGCAGGGTCAACAGCAGCGTAGACAAAACAAACAACAGAGGAATCAAGCTATTCAACAGAGCTAGGCTTATCAAGAGTTTAGGACCAGGAATCAAGCTAGGCTTATGAAGAGCTAGGTTGATACCTCAGGCTCCTGCAGCCGGCGCCTCTCCAACCAGTGCTGTTCCTACGGCTTCCAAGAAACAATTTCCTGACAAAAAATTCGACGCAACATGGCCATGGTAATAAAGCGTCGATTTCAGCAACGCCTCAGCCTGGGATTCAACATAAGCTATATACCTCGGTTGATAAGCCTTGTCAGGTTGAGGTTTATGTGAACGATCGAACAACTAACACTGAATTCAGAGATGAAAAGTAGCGCTCAAAGAGGGGAAATTAATTGCTGGGGTTTTAGCGACTTGCAGATGCGCATGTAGAGGCCAGCCGGAACACGGTGGCTAGGGTTTCAACCCAGTACAGGAATTGATGCCTCTCGAGGCCCGGGGTCTTGGCTCTTATAGCCATCACATCACCACTAAAGCAGTAAAGCATAAAGAAGGGTACAAGCTGCAATGGGAATTTAAATTGCGACGCGCGGATTAGTCTTGGCCGTTCGATCGCAGATCAATGTCGACAGCATCGTCTTCTCGGCGCGAAACGGCAAGTGTTGATGGATGGCGGATGGACGGCTGAGGAATGCTGCGATAACTGAACAGTCCGTCAGAAAACTGAATAAAACGACACTTGACATCTTCAGAGTGGAGGGGTGCCAAATGAGGTGGCAGATATCGATAACCGTGGCTTGATGCAGGTTCCTCCTGCAGGTCACACCGTTTCTTGCTTCACAACCGCCCCCACTCCATTCCAAGTTCCCGGCGGCGACTGCGCATCCCCGGCAGATCAATCCAGCACAGAACAGCATCGAGAGAATGACGATGCAACCTCTAAGGATGGACGCACAAGTTGACCAAGTGCAGCACACCCAGGTGATACCAGCTACACCTATATCTCCTACAGTAGTACAGATGCAGGCAGTCCTGTGCACGGCCAAGAGGTCGGCAGTTGGTGGCACCAGCAACAGCTGTCTAGGCCGCATCTGCAGCCTGCATCATTAGCAGCAGCAGAGAGCAGTTGTTCCAGGCAGGACGTATGCTCCCCCAAATGTTTCCAGGCAGAACTTAAAAACCGCACCAAAGCTAGCAGCTCATTGTTCTCTGAAGTTTGAGTTGTTTCCTGTGGGGAACATAAAGTAGCTTGTCGTGGTAACCAAGATAATCATGCGATAAGTCTCTGCATGTCTGAAAACAATGCAACAGAGAACTTGTTTATGAGCTTTGCAGACTTGTAGCGATTGGCTGCTCCAGTTTTTTGTATATAAAATAGTTCTCTGTTATGTCAAGGTTATGTTTATTGCTACTTTTCGAGTTAGTAGTTGCCTGCTTAGAAAATATTCCCTTGGTTAAGTAAATGGAAGTACTTTCTGAGGATGGAAATTTGATGATGAGGCATCTGTACCACACCTATATCTCGCAGTTGAGAGCAGGCAGTTCCGGGCTTCCATCCATAAACCAGCAGAAGCATGAGGCATCATCAGTGATAACTCTGAAGAATTCGACAATTGGCTCATCGGTTTCATGGACAAGAGCATTTATGAACCTCAACTTGTTGCAGTGCAGCAAAGGGAAGCTGTGATTCTTACGCACCAGGTGGA